CCTGTCCTTTCTCTCGTCCTCCTCTCCTTCTCCTCCCCCTCTTCCTGCTTCTCCTCCATCCTCTGGAACACGCGGTTATCGCCTGCACGTGGTTGTCATGGTGATCGACCCTGAGGGACTCATCCCAAAACCAAAAGTTCTGCTTGTCTGAAATAGAACCTCCACCTCCCCCTAGGGATAATGGGAAGGTTGATTTGGTACAGGAGGGGAGGCAGGGAGAGAGTGGTAAAGAGAGAGAGACAGACAGAGGAGAGCAGTTGAGAGGGACATGGAAAAAGACAGGGTGATAGAGAGTAATAGAGAGAAAGACAAATAAAGAGAGGAGACAGAGACAGATAGTGAGACAGATGGAGGGGGGAGAGAGAGAGTAAAGCAGAGCAGAGAATGAAGCAGGGTGCATCCATTCCAACTGGGTCACATCACAGGAGCATTGCGTAAGCATAAACAGTGCTGCCCCGTTCGATGGCCTTTCCATACACACACACACACACACAAACACCTGTTTCACAGGGAAAACTAAATGACACAATGTTCCCAAGCCCATATCCTTAACCAACCTTTACCACCACATACTGTATCTTAACTGTAAACTGTACAATCAATTCACGCAAAGTGGATGTGTTACATTTTAGTTTTTTCCAGTAAGATGCATTTTATTTTATATTATTATTTTACTTTATTTTCTTTTTAGTTAGTCTGTATTTTGGTTGTGTACGGTGCTCTACAGAAGACAAAAGCTCTGTGCCAGTCATACCATCACCAGAGCCAGCAATCAATGAAGGACAGCTGGCTCAGACCAGTCTGTGTCAGTGCCAGTATGAAATATCTATGCTGCAAACGTAAATGTATTGGTTGTTTGACCAAGTTGTTCAGAAATGTTGTTCTCCAGCACTTACATTACATTACAACTGTATTTAAAGGGTAAGGGAGGGGCTCCATGTTTGTAAACTGTTAAGATGTTGTAAATACATTTATTCAATCTTTACAATATATTCATTGTATTAAGTTTCCATATCAATTTGTACTGTTATTGAATGCTGTTATTATGCTGTACTAAAAGGGAAAGTGCTGAATACAGGTGTGCTGATGGTTTACATAACAGGATGATATGGACAGCAATGAATGGTACCGACTGTTACACTTGGAGATAGAGACAGGACACAGAACCGGCCAGAACTGGTTTCTTTGCCCAAATAAGGAGACTGACGGAGACTGACCAACAAAAGACAAAGAGAGAAAACCATCCAAACTGCATGGTCTTATCTGACTTGATTAACTACAGTACATGCACATAGCTCCTATTGGTGGAGAATCCTTGTTTGGAGCAGTCTTTACCAATCAGTGCTCAGAAGTGGCGCATGAACACCGCATGGCTGTGAAATGCCAAGGTACTGACCATTGAAGTGTGTAAAAAAACTGTATTTAAGCTTTGAGCACTGAGGAGTTCCTCAGTGCAGTTCTGAATGTAACCATTGTTCTGAACTCCTTGCTTGCACGTAAAACTTTTAAAACTTGAGATCTCATATTTGATTCTTTATTTAATTTTTATTTGATTCTTTGTGTGTTAAGAAACTGGGGTATGAACTAACAGCATATTTTACAGTCCTATCTAACAGAAAAAGTTTCCTGACATAAACACTCGGTGAGTTTTGTTGAATAGAATCAGACCTTAGACCCAAACCTGTGCCCTGTCATCAAATGAATACAGTGACTCCACCAAAAAAAATGACACGAAAAGTGTTCCCTCAATGACCGCACATGACTCCAGTAGTTGGTGTGAATTTAAATTCTAGCTCCCACAATAAAAATGAACACACACATACAGCAACACAGCCAATGTTAATTTAATTTAACCCTTGTGTGTGGTGTTCGGGTCTGTGGGACCCGTTTTCACTTTTTAATAAAAGAAAAATGATATAATTATTTAATTTTTCAAACTGAGACTCACTGGCTTTGGCTCATTTTCTGTGAAGAACATATATCAGAATACATATTTAATGACCACACACCATACAC